TGAAGATTTACTCACTTTTCAGAGCAAGAGGTTATATTCATTTATGGTTGTAATACTTTAAAATGTAATTAATTTTCTCATTTTAATCATCCTCTGCTATCCGGGGGGAAGGAAACAAAAGAAAAGTGAGGGAGACAACACAAAAATCAGAGACATTTTAAGAAATGAAGGTGGTTGAAATCTATAGGAAAATCTCACAGCAGCAATGAGGGTAACAGAAGGAAAAGGCTTTGCTAAGGCCTTATTTTAGACCTAAAAACACTTGCTGTTGTGTCTTTTTTAATATCAAATTTTCCTTGTAAATTTCTCCATACTGTTTTGGTGACCAGGGAAAGGGTATGACATAGAGGTTACTAATATTACAAATATATGAAAATTTTGGGTTGTGATGCTTAAATTAATTTGTTTTTACATCTATTTTTGCATAAAATAGGTTTTTTATGAACACAGCAATGTAATGTTCCTGCAATCTTCTACATGACGAGAGGAAAGAAGAAATATGAAACATGGTTTTCTGTTTTCTGCCTGCAGTTGCGTTACAGTTGCACTGGACGTAGCGCAGTAGCATTTACCATCAGTTGTGCAGTTGTACTAAGATGTGCAGGGAATAGACAGGGTGGAGCAGTCTACAACGGAGGAGTGGAAATACCAACATTACTTTTATTTTCATTGCATAAAAACACAGGAGGGTGATGGTAAAGTACAAATTGTGTCCAGGACAGAAACAGCCACACTGTACTGCTAACACAACATCGGGTCTTTGCAGACATCTACACAAACAACGTGCCAGCACAGAGCCAGCAGAGACACATCTTATTCATCACCATGTAACAAAGCGAGTGATGAGTAGTCTTAGAGCGCTGTAGCATTCAAGTTAGAATCACAGTGGCAACACTTTGAAGTCTATGTGGTGGTTTTCCACTTTGTTTTGTGTTCAAATGTAACCTTAAAAGAAAAAATGTTCTTTTTAAGAAAAGGATTTATCTTATTATCTGGGACTGTAGCCGAAGGTTCATACTGGTAACTGGTAATTATGTCACAGTGTATTTCAGGACATGCTACTGAGCAACATGAAAGAAATATAAAAACAAAAACAAAAAGCAGCATAACAAATTACTTTTTACTGGGAAGTAATCAAATTCATTTCTTTTAAGTAATTGTAAAACTAACACTAGATAAGTAATGTTATTAAACAGAATTATTTTGGTTACAAAAATCAAAACAAAGCATTGGGTTTGGCTCCAAAACTGTCAGTCTGCTGGTTGACGTGAACAGACGTGAACAGACGTGAACAGACAGCCTGCTAAGGAGTCAAATTCCTGTTAGCGCGCTGTATCAGTTCACCTCCATACATCTGGAACTATTCAAATTTTATTACAGCAGCAGGTTCTACATGTCAGTTTTGTAAGAAACTACACAAAACATGTAGGCGGCTATGAAGCAAGTTCGTTGGAAAAGTTCATCTGACAACAATGTTATGTTCCCGATACCTGTTGAAACGTGTGTTTTTAAGTCATTAGAGCCACTAGAAATGCAGTTTATGAGTAACAGCCAACTTACAAGGAAAGGGCAAATGCTCAGACATGAGGATGTTTTTATTTATGCATTTTACTCGCATAAAATTACATGTAGTGATTGATGAATGCGAGAATATAGCATCATTTTGTAATTGTTTATTAATACTGTTTACGCTTACTAAATGGTCTATGCTACTTACTGTATTTGTTTTATACATAAAATACTTTCAGTT